TAAAACTCTATTACGTGACCCACCGTGCGGCCTGAGGCCTACTAGTCCCGTGATCGTAATACTATCCCCCATCTCTCCTAGTGTAGTCCCGTGCGTATAACTAAAGTAAAGAAATATTTTAACGAAGGGTAACCTTCTTCTTCTTCTTTCAATATGCCCCGTCCTTCTAAACAAGCAAAAGCCCTTATAACCGAAAAGAAAAATAGAGAGCGTCTTGACCTAGCGATCTTTATCAAAAGCGTTGGTTTCCCGATGGATTGCTGTTCCTTTTGCATCCGAGAGCGCCGTTAGTGCATTGCGACGGCTAATGGAGAGCGCTCTCCAAAATGTTCTGAGTGCGTTCGAGCGAGGGTATCTTGCGATGTGAACACCCCTCTTGTAGATCGGTGGGAGTAAGAGGTGCCTCGCCACTCCGACTGGGTCTCCCTGGAGTCCTAGGAAGATAAGCTAAGAGAGTAGGAGGAAGAAGCCATGGTGAAGATCCTTCGCCTGCGAAAACAGCAGCGACTGCTGCGAAAACGGAGGGCTAAAATGGCAAAACGCGGCCTACGATACCTGAACGAACTGGATTCTGTGGAGGAAAAGGAAAGGCTAGAGAAGGAAGAGTGGGAGCGGGCCGCAGCCTCGTCTCCGGCTGCCTGGGACCCTTCTAACATAGATTGGAATGCCCTGGAAGCGTCTCTCCTTCCTGCTCCTAACGACCCTTCCGCCCCTGTTCCCTCCTAGGAAGGCCTAAATGCCGGCGGTGGAAGTCAGTTAGGATCTTAGGGCAGCTGAGATTTGACTTCGGCTCCTAAGTGTTCTCTGATTGTAGGTATCCCTCCCACTTAACCAAATACTTGACTCTCCCTCTAACGTACTTGCAATCTAGTATCTTCTCCACTTTATACTCGGCGTTTGGGTTGACTGGGTCGATCTTAACCTAAGGCGCCGGCGGCGCTCCCGGTGGCGCGAGCTCGAGAAGTGATATGTAGAATGTTGGGTATATCCTTATGTTCTTAGGCAGCTATAATTCATAATTAACAGGTCCTTTTACCCTTTTGATCTTATAAGGCCTAAGCTTCCTATAATCGAGCTTGTCGCTTAGTCTCTTAGTTTTGATGTTTTTTCTGATCAGATATACCTTATCCCCCTCTTTTAGCGTAGGCTCCTAGCTACATCGCTTGTTATAATAGTGCGCAGTGCGCTTAGAAACAAATTGTAGCTCAGAGGCTAGCTAGGTGTGTAGTTCCTTAATTTCGGAGACACGAACCTTAGCTAGGTTGTTGTTAATAGCCGTAATGCCTAGTTCCTTGTATACCACGGGTTTATAACCGAAATTAGTATAAAAAGGCGTTTCCTTTATAGTCTTTGTGGTTGAACTATTGTACGCAAACTAGGCAAGCGGTAGTAGTGCTACCCAGTTGTCCTGTTAGTAGTTAATATAGCATCTTAAGTATGCCTCAACTACCTAGTTCATTCTCTCGTTTCCTTCGTTAGTCCACGGATGGAACGCAGTGGTTATCTTCCTCTTAATCCCTAGGGCGGCCGTGAGGGCGGTCTAGAATTTAGAGGTGAAGAGCTTGTCTCGATCTGAGAGTATCTCTTTAGGCAAGCCATGCCGGCTGACTACTTCTTTAAGGAAAGCGTGGGCAAGCTGCTCAGCCGTGCTTGCCTCCTAGTAGGGTACTAGTATTATATACTTTGTGAGTCTTTCTATAATAACCAGGATTAAGTCGTACTTAACTCCTAATACCGAGTCTTCAGATAGCGGGAGCTTCGTAATAAAGTCCTACGATATTGATTTCTAGGGGGTGTCCGGTATAGGGACCGTCCCCATTAGCCCGTATAGTACGAGGCGGCTTGTTTTGTTCCTAGCACAAGTGTCGCAACCCTTAATGACCTTTTTAACGAGGGCTCTTATTAACGGACACTAGTACTCTCTCGAGAGTCGGAGGAAAGTCTTTTGTTCCCCTTAATGGCCATAAGCCGGCAATCCGTATTATTCTCTTACAACTTCTTCCCTAATACTTAAGGGAAAGTAAATCTTTCCGTTGTATGTGAGTAGTCCTCCGGGCGTCTTCTTAAAGTACTAAGAGACGGAACCTGCTATCGGGTCTATAGTATAGGCCTCCTTGATGCGGGCCTCTAGCGGAGTCTCGTCTAAGCGTCTTAGAGAGGCTATTTCCCTGATCGCCGGTACTAGGTCCCCGTTGTCGAAGGTACAAAGCAAAGGTTGCTCATCGTATACTTTATCGTTCTCGTACCCGGGTTTCCTACTAAGGGCATCCGCCCTTGGGTTTTATGTGCCCGGCATATGCTTGATTCTTAGATCAAAACTAGCAAGTTCCTTAGACTATCGTACTAACTTTCGATTGTTAAGGACTTTAGTGGTTGTAAAAGCCCGAAGATTCATATAGTCGGTGTGGATAGTAACTAGGAACTTAGCCCCTTGGAGGTATACTCTTTAGTGCCTAAGTGCCTCTACTATTGCTAGAAGCTCTTTCTGATAGATGTCGTAGTTCTGCTCTACAAGTGACATCTTTTTAGAGAAATATGCGATAGAGTGTAACTTCTCATCGTTAGCCTTCTATAAGTGTACTACCCCTATAGCCGTATCTAACGCGTTGGTTTCAACGATACTTTCTCGATTTTCCCTATACTATTAGAGTATTAGTTCTTTTGAGAATCTTGACTTTATTTCCCGGAAAGAGGCCTTTGCTTGGGGTGTTTA